TTTTGTTACCTTCGAGTTCATCAATGCTTTTATTGTTAGGAAAATGATTTTTTCTTTTTTTGTAAGTTTATTTTTATGTTTTCCACTTTTCCCTCTTGCTTATATATATATTTATTTTTCTCTCTCTCCCGTTTAACCTTTTATGCTATTTCCTTTACTGTATAGTAGCTGCGTAGTATGATTGAATGTGTGATGCGCAACGTCATGTACGTTACTTCTCTCTTCGCTGTTCTTCTTATATTCACTACTGGAGCCACGACTGCCATCGAAGGTGATATTGAATGCGGTGCGGCCATGGCGTGTTTTCCTTGGATGGGTGAAGACGGTTATTTACCGTGTCTTCGTGGCCGGCGAATGAATTTGCGATTCATGTTGGATTTGGCGCCGGAGAATGTTAATCCAGCAGAGCCGGCAAACACCATTGCGGTGTATGGATTTTGTCCAGTGGTTGACCGATTACAAATATTTACGTTAACGCATGCTCCTTTTTTGGCAAGTGTTTATGATAATGGCGGAACTTTGTCACTTACGCATTCCATAGAACGAAAATATCTTTCCGTATTTGGGTTTGGTATGTCGAACAATACAAAATATCCTCAAAAAAATATTTCCGCAGGTGCTGTTTTGATTGGAGTAAATGGAAGTACGTTATGTGGTTCTTATCGTTCTGTTGCGTTAGTAAACACTCTATTACTGGATATTGGTCTTCACAAGGGACGATTTAATTATATTGGTGCTAAAGAAGCTTCAGTACCACCATCCACTGGAAGTAGCAGCAGTAGTGATGATAACAACAATAATAATACACTAATCCCAGAAGTTGTGGTGCAACCGGCGATGGTTGGATTTCGTCCCACTTGTAATGAAAATGATGAATGTCTATTGGATTCAAATAGTGTTTGTGTGGGAACTGAAGTAGGAAAGAAAAATTGTGCAACTTGTTATAATGATCCAGAAGATATTAGAGATAATGCGCGACTACGTGTGTGGACATCTTACTATGGAACTGATACGAAAGGACGCCCGTTGCTGAGTGGTGGTATGAATCCATTAAATTTTAGAGGTTTTGCTGGAAGTGGATTTTTTAAAGATATTGCACAAACTCTGAATGATATCAAAGGAGGAGACGTTAATAATATTGCACAAATTATGAGTGATATCAAAGCAAGAACCATCAATAATGTTGCACAAACTTTGGATGATATCAAAACAGGAACCATCGATAGTATTACAAAAACTATGAATGATGTCAAAACAGAAACCATCAATACTATTGCACAAACTGTGAATGATGTCATGGGAGGAAACGTCAGTATAGGAATGTGAAAAAGATAAGTGTGTTTTTTTTTTTTCTTTTAAGGATGGAAAAACTATTCGTATCTTTAAAATGTTGCTATTAAAATTACATTAATGATAGAAGCGGAATTAGAAGTCTCGTGAGCCAAAAAATAAAATGTTGAAAAAAACAAGATGTCCCCATTTCTGAATGATGGACGATTTGCGGGTTATTTCCTCCCATTGAACAAAAGAGAAAAAAAAAAAAAAAATGGATTCAAATGAATATGTGAAAAAAAAGGAATTTGTATGACGATCAGTGAATTTTGCTACATTTATGTTTCTTTGTATATATATATATATATATATATATATATATATATATATATATATATATGGAGAGAGAGAATATCCGATGAAAAAGTATGTTTTTTTTTTTTTTTTTCGTTTTGCATTGTGCCTTTCCCCTTTGCTGAGTTAATCTTCAGTTATGGCTAGAATAGCTTTCGAAAAAATCCATTCTTCTGCCAGAGTAGTGGTAAGGGATTGAAATTTGTTTTCTTCCCATATTCTTTGTTTTTTTTTTTTTTTTTTTTTTTTTTCTTTTGTCTAAAGAAAATGAGAATTTTACTTGGTTTTGTTATTCTTATTGCTGCCATTGTAACTAGTGTTTTATTCGCGGGAGTTTCAATTGCCCAGAGTAACGAATGTACACAAGGAACTGCCTGTCAGCCGTGGAATGCAAGTAAGCGTTGTGCCATTGGCCAACGAATGGATCTTCGTTATGGTGTACAACTTTCTGGTGGTGGCAGTATGTTAGCGTTTGGTTTTTGTCCATTAGTGGATGAGTTGCAGGCATTCAATCTTAGTGGTGTTGGGACCCTGTTATCCAGTATTCAGGGTAGTGGGAATGCCTCTTTAATTGTATATGGACAAGGTGCCATGTCAGCACCCACAACAGATTTTTCTAATGCCATTCTCTATGCTGAGGTATCAGATAAATGCAAGACAGATGAGTTGGCTGTTGTTAGTTTTCTTTTACTTCGTCTACCAATGACAGAAGGTCACTACACTTATGCAAGCAATACATCTTATCCTGAAAGTGCTGGTTTTGAATCCACATGTAGTGAAAATGGTCAGTGCCCTTATTCTGAAGGTAGTGTATGTATTGGGCCTAGTAATAATACGAACTGTGCCAAGTGTTATAAAAGAAATACATTGACAACTGTTCAAACAACTATTTGGGCTTCCTATTACGGAACAGATAGTGGTAATAAGATATTTAAGAGTGGAGAATCTAATCCTGCTCATTTCCGGAAGTTTAGTATCGGAGTCTTGGAGACAATGTCAAGAATATTTGATCGATAGATAGTGTCATGCATTTTATTGTAGTTGTATATAATTCAAGTTGAAGTGAAAGGATGATTAAGAAAACAAAAAACAAAAAAAAAGAAAAAAACAGACGAAAGAGTTAGAAGAAAACAAAAAAAAAAAAAAGAAACGGAGTAGTGTAATCCACATTATAAACATTACAATGAGAGAATGAAAAAGTGAAGTATAAGCGACGTTTTGAAGTGTAATATATATATTAATTTAATTTTTTTCTCTTTTTGAATCTTTTTTTTATTTTTCTTATGATGAAGAGTACAGGTTTATTCATAATCATGTCGTACCTTCTTCGAACAACGATAGCGGTTGTTGGTCTCTGTGGAGCGGGTTCTATACTTTATAATAGATGTTTGGCAAACAAACCACCACCCGAACACAACAAGGAACTTATCCATTTAGCGGCTGTAGCGTTATCTAGTGAAGTGGTAGACACTGTTATTTTTCGAAATGAAGAGTCATTGAAACTTCTTAGAGGCTTTGTAAAGAAAGTATTCCTTCATCCCGATGTAGTTCATGAAATAAAGACTCATGTAGTCTCTGAATTTACAACTAATAAAGAAACCGTTGCTGCACTTCGTAAGTTTATTGTGGAAGATATTATCCGCGATACTTGGGTGGCTGATGAGCTCATTAGTATGGCTAAAGAGACTGGAAAGGAAATTGTACACGATCGAACGATTTATCCCGATCTCAGTTTGAAATTACTTGCGGATGCCACTCAGGAGGGATTGCGAACCTCAACGTTTAAAGAGGCACTGAAGTCTGCAGTGAAGGGTTCACTCTGGCAGGCGTTCTTAGGGCCCCCACCACCCCATCTTACTAAGGGAGTGGAGAAGTGATTGAAGAGATTAAGGGAGGTAAGGAAGAAAAAAAAAAAAGAAAAAATGTATTCTCATGGGGGGTATAGATGCGTCTATTTCTGTATATATGTTTTAATTTTTTATTTGTTTATTATTTTCGTTTTTTATGTTGTTGTTATCATTTTTTTTTTCTTTTTTTTTTTATTTGTTGCTGCTGATTTTTTTTATTTCTCGGTTGTTAAATGCTGTTTGATCCTCTCAACCAAACGGAATAAAGATAAATATGTGATAAAGTAATCTGATCGGTGATTTTGAATAACTATATATCTTGCTTCTGTATATCCATTTGCATGATTATATATATATATATATATATATATTATTATTACTGTTTAATGACTCTTTTTTTTTTCCTTTATTCTTTCCTTGTTATTGTTATTATTTATTCTTGCAGGATGGGCCGCTTCAACCTCGACCTCTGCCTAATACCACAGGTGACAGAAGGAGGAGTGGAGTACTTGCCTGAAGATGAACTTCGATTGGCTTTGGGCAGTATTGCAGCTCGCGCAGATCATATTGTGAGTTATGCTACTCCCCATCGCATTGCAGCTGCTATCGCATCTAATGTACGTGCGGGATCTGAATTTACACATCAGATTAACATGCTTATTGGTAATACACACTCTAGAGAAGCTTTAATTGAACTCCTCTGTGATCTCACGAGTAAACATGTGGAGGATGAAAACTTACCGTTACAATGTATGATTTTTGCCTCTAATGAGACATCTGTGGTTTGTGAAATTATAGGAAGAGAAGAGATGAAGTCTGTAAAAGAAGTTATTTGTGGTATGCGTCAAATCGTTTTGGTGGCTCTAAAGTATGGACGCCGAACGGTTACATTTGTTGTTGCTCAACAACTCTCTACTACTCTTATAGCTTCCATGTTAGGTTCTTCTTGGTGTCATCTTTGGCTTCTTTTAGGGGGAAATGATTCCATTGATCGATCGGTATCAATGCTGCGGGAGGCACTTGCAGTTCGTGATGCCGTAAATGGATTTCGTCAAGTTTCTGAACCACTAATAAGAGAAAAAGATGATATTGAAACTTTACTACAAGCACGAGCCTCTTCAGATGAAGAAGCACAACAATTGATAGATGTTTTGCAGAAGTATATGGTGGAGGATAATCATAAAGATTTTCAACGTATTGTAGATGAACATGCGGCATTGCAAGCTGCACATGCAGATTTACAATTATATTTAACAGAGCGTGAGGAATACTTTACAACACAATTAGAGGAGACGGAACAGGAAATAGAGTATCTGAGGCAAAGACTACAGGAATCAACCACTAGAGTGGAAAAACTAGATGAGACGGAAGCAAGAATTATGGAATTAGAGACAGAATTAGCTAAGAAAAATGAAGAACTTTTTATTCAACGAGAAAAAGCATTTGAAAGTCAACGAGAAGCGGAGGAACAAATTCAGCAACTTAATCTTGAATATAATATTAAACTTAAAGAACTTCAAAGTATGGATGATAGACATAAAGTTGAGAATTCCGTAGATTCTCTTCAAGCTGAATTATTAGAAGCACAGGCAGCATTACGTGAAATGCAAGAGCAGTTAGATGATTTAAATGAAGAAAATTTACAGAATGTTATGGAATTTCAAGAAAAAGAAAAAGATTGGCAAAAAGAATTAAAACGAGCAAGAGAAAAGACAGAAGCTGCTATTGAAGAATGTCTTCAACTTCGAACTGCCATAACTTCTCAAGATTCTAGTATGGATATTGTAAAGGACACTATTCAGGCTACTTGGGCATTACAGGAGCAAGAATTAGATGATCTTTTGTTAAAAATTAGGGCTATTTCATCTGCCAACGCTTCCAATGTTCATCGTCGTGTATCACCACAACGGTTAACAAACTCTAATCCACGAAATCACATTAGAGTATTGTCTCCTAGTCCATTACTGAATGGCAATTCATATTTGTAGAGACCTTTTGTTGTTGTTGTTTTTTACTTTAAGTAAGCATGTCGTTGTGTTTTTTTTTTTTTTTTTTTTTTTTCCTTTTTTCATGGATCTGTCGTTGAACGTTCTTGTTGTTGTTTTCGTTTGTATGTCTTTGTGTGTGTGTATGTGTTGTGTTGTGTAAAATATGTATGAGAGGGGAATTACAGTACACGTTGTGCGCGATAAAGTAGTTTACATGGAGTTCAAAGTCTTTGACGCATGTGAAAAGTGGTGTATTTTTCTTTTATTATGAACTACAGTATTAGTTTTTTCTTCTTTTGTTGTTGTTGTGTTTGTTGTTCTTATTCGTTGTTGGTGCTATTCATTTCCTTCTTTTGGTTTCCTATTAAAAAAAAAAAAAAAAAAACTATGGTATTTTTTTTTTCTCCTTTTTTTTTTTTTCTTCGATTCCATGTGTGCCCCTGATTCCACAGCAATAAAGGTAAGTGTATATATATATATATATATATATATATA